ACACACACACACACACACACACGTGTGTGTATGATTACTCATGTTTTAATATGGAAAATAGCCCAAGCATTGTATACTTACCAACTTTTCCAGATGATTCTGATCCACATCAATATTTGAGAATAATTGTAGTAACTTATTTCTATAGTCTTCTTCCTCTGCTTCTTGCATCATATTTCATTAGTTTTTCTTCTTTTTTTTTTAATTTTTTCTCTTTAGAAGTTCTTAGTTGGACAATATTTCATTAGTTTCTGTGCATTTCTTATCCATTTTTTTTTTTCGGATCAAACAGATATCCTTGTGAACTTGATGTCATTTACCTACAAGATATAATTTTCACTTTAATTTTCTATTTCTATTATAAAAGTTTAACTTTTCAAAAATAGAGAAAAAAAAATTACCACTTTATTTTCTTTCAGATCTGGAATCAATGTGTGAAACCAAGTTATTATCTCTAAAGAAGGAAGTTTATGAAATAGAATCATGCCAGAGGGAGATGATGGGACTTACAAAGCATGGCCTGGAGTACTCCAGTTTTAGAGATGTTTTGGATTATAGAAGCCACTTTGCGAGACAACTGGGATACCAAAATGAGCATTTCAGTCAAGAAATATTCACTCGTGAATACATGCCCACATTCATTCAACAGACATTCCTTACTCTGCATCAAATAATTAATAATGAACAGAAACCCTATGAATGTAAGAAATGTGGAAAGGCCTTTAGTCAGAATTCACACTTTATTCAACATCAGAGAATTCATATTGGTGAAAAATCTTATGAATGTAAGGAATGTGGGAAATTCTTTAGTTGTGGTTCACATGTTACTCGACATCTGAAAATTCATACTGGTGAAAAACCCTTTGAATGTAAAGAATGTGGAAAGGCCTTCAGTTGTAGCTCATACCTTTCTCAACATCAAAGAATCCATACTGGTAAGAAACCCTATGAATGTAAGGAATGTGGGAAGGCCTTTAGTTATTGCTCAAATCTTATTGACCATCAGCGAATTCACACTGGTGAAAAACCCTATGAATGTAAAGTATGTGGCAAAGCCTTTACAAAGAGTTCACAACTTTTTCAACACGTGCGAATTCACACAGGTGAGAAACCCTATGAATGTAAGGAATGTGGCAAAGCCTTTACTCAGAGTTCAAAGCTTGTTCAGCATCAGAGAATTCATACTGGTGAGAAACCTTATGAGTGCAAAGAATGTGGCAAAGCCTTTAGTAGTGGCTCAGCACTTACTAATCATCAGAGAATTCACACTGGTGAAAAACCCTATGATTGTAAGGAATGTGGGAAAGCCTTTACTCAGAGCTCACAACTTCGTCAACATCAGAGAATTCATGCTGGTGAGAAACCCTTTGAATGTCTTGAATGTGGGAAGGCCTTTACTCAGAACTCACAACTTTTTCAACATCAGAGAATTCATACAGATGAAAAACCGTATGAATGTAGTGAATGTGGAAAGGCCTTTAATAAATGTTCAAACCTCACTCGACATCTGAGAATTCACAGTGGGGAGAAGCCCTATAACTGTAAGGAATGTGGGAAGGCATTTAGTAGTGGCTCAGATCTCATTCGTCATCAGGGAATTCATAACAATGAATAATAAAAATTAAAGCTCTTGTCACCTTCCTAATATTTTAAATAAAAATTCATGTTTAATAGTGAAAAAAGGCACTATCTTTTATTTTATATTTAAGTTTTGAATCCAAATGTCCTTCACTTTAAATTATAAATTCAGAGTCTAAATTGACATTCTCTCTCCTCCCAATGGGAGAGAGAATGTGTGCCCATGGCAGTTGTTAGGTAATTCTGTCCTTCTCCATTGTTTGGTTCTACTTTCTTGGTGATACCTTATATTCTTATTTATAA